TGGTGGTATATGATTACATTATAAATTACTTGGTCATTAATACCCATGTGTGAATGTTTAGTCCATCGCTCATGGGGAGGCGGAACTCATTCAAAGTAATTAATATGCAGTTGGGTAGTTAAATATATAATAATGCATCATATTTTAGAAGCAAGTCAAACATTTTACTAAAATAAAAGTAGAAATCCCACAGTTTAGAAATAGTTGTTGAAGTAAAAGTCCTGCATTAAAACAATAATAATATATAAATAAAAGCATTGGCATCAAATAAAAGTACCAAAAGCTATTATTATGCAGAAAGTCCCATTTCGGACTTATACCCTTAAATTATGTATCCATTAATGTGTAGATAATTTTAATGTTGCAAATATTTGAACTATTTATAGACAGCTTATGAATTTACCAACATTTCTGTTTTTATTCAGACTCAGCTTGCTGAGCTTAAGCTTCTTTTAAATGTTGATAAAACCAAGGTAATGCTCTTTTCTAAAGCTAAAAAGACACCAGAGCCTGTTTTAGATATTGTAACTACGCAAGGAATAAAACTTGAAGTGGTTACCTGTTACATATACCTTGGTATCTGGCTTGATGATTGTCTCACTTTTAAACTTCATGTCAATAACCTGCTTAAAAAGCTGAGGGTTCGGCTAGGTTTCTTCTACAGGAACAAGTCCTGTTTCTCGCTTGAGGCCAGGAAAAGGCTAGTCACTGTGACCTTTTTACCTGTGCTGGACTATGGTGATTTGATGTACTGTATATGAATGCACCTGCCAATTGCCTGGTCAAGTTAGATGCTGCGTATCACAGTGCATTGAGATTTGTGACAAACTGTAAAGCATTAACCCATCACTGTACCCTGTATGCAAGGGCTGGTTTGCCTTCGCTAACTGTACGGAGGCTCAGTCACTGGTACATTTTTATATACAAAGCCATGTAAGGGAAACTTCCGTCCTACATCTGCTCCCTGATCTCACGGCGAATTGTAAGTGGCTACTGCCTGAGATCGAATGCTGTGGTTTTATTAAATGTGCCAACTGCTAGGACTGTCTTAGGGAAGATAGCTTTTAGATGTGCAGCTCCTCTGTCTTGGAATAGTCTGCAAAAGGAATGGAAACTGAGCAATTTGGTTCCACTAAATGTTTTTAAAACAAGGATAGATGCTATCCAATCGGAAACTGTTGGAACCTGTAAATGTTACTAGCTATGTAAACTGTAGTCGCTGTAAATATGCTGTATGATGTCCTTTTTGTTTTTCTGTTATGTTTATATGTATTCATGTGGAACCTACTTGCAGCAGGTCTCCCTTGAAAAAGAGATCAATGATCTCAATGGGATTCACCTGCATAAATAAAGGTTTGAAATGAAATGAAAAATCTATAATATATCAAGAAGAAAAAATTGCATACAAACGCCACTTTGTCTCTTTTATGGTGCAGGGAATAAAATCACCTGAAGAAAAACATTTGTTATTTCTAAAGGAAATTATTCCTTATGGCCAAAAACTCGACTCCTTTTTAATGAATCAATGCAGAGACGATACAAGTTTGTTTTCTTTAAAATGTGATCAAGTTTCCTTGATTTCATGATTATATTTTGCATTATTAATCTGTATCTACAAAGTAACCATGTTTTAAATGTTGTCGAAAAGAAGTATAAAGCAACATAATATGGAAAGTCTTAGGTAAAGGAAGAGCACCTCAGGATTAAGTTCAGTACTTCAGCAAATGTATTCAGTTACTTTCAGAGCTGTCCTTGCACTACCTATATCTGTCCACAGATGGCAGCATTGTCTTATTTGGCTATCAGGTATTATTCAGGTGGATTTCCTCTCTTGGATTTTATGGAGCTATTTCAGAGTCATAAGTTTTGATCATTCAAAAAAATACAATTTATTTGAAAGTTCAACTTTTTATCCTGAACTTTGAAAAATACAATGATGTATTCAAAATAAAAATAAGTATTTGAAATCATTTTTCAGATTGAATATTATTTTGATTCAGTTCAGCAATTTTTTTGAATAAAATATTTATTTTCAGATTTCCCTTTTATACATATTTTGATATTTGAATCCTTATTTTTTTTCAGTTGCAGATTTTTCGTTTTCAGATTCAAAACAATTATTTTTTCAGTTTCAAATCTTGTTTTTTCAGGTTTCACATTGCTTTTCACCTTCAGATCGTTTTTCACTTTCAGATCTTTTTTTTCGCTTTCAAACTTTTGGCCCTGATGTTGCTTGGGGGGCGGGGCTTACCAAAGTGTAGTTTGGCATCCTCTGTCATGTTGCCTTCATGGATGTTAGCACGAGAAATATAACTCAATACTTTCTATACACAATACTCCCGTGATTGGTGGTAAACAAAACTGATTTCAGCCACAAACCATTCATGTTACTCTGTATGGAGCTATTTCAGGGTCATAAGTTTTGATCATTCAAAAAAATACAATTTATTTGAAAGTTCAAGTTTGTATCCTGAACTTTGAAAAATACAATGATGTATTCAAAATAAAAATAAGTATTTGAAATCATTTTTCAGGTTGAATATTATTTTGATTCAGTTCAGCAATTTTTTGGAATAAAATATTTATTTTCAGATTTCACTTTTTTACATATTTTGATATCTGAATCCTTTTTTTTTTCAGTTGCAGATTTTTCGTTTTCAGATTCAAAACAATTATTTTTTCAGTTTCAAATCTTGTTTTTTCAGGTTTCACATTGCTTTTCACCTTCAGATCGTATTTTCAGCAGGTTATTCAATAACAAAAATGTGACTAGTCACCAGATTAAGACGGAATGTATGTTTGTATTTAAAAAATATTTAACATTTTATTTTATTTAACCGTTTTTATATATTTCAAACCAATGTAATTCAAATGTTTGCCTACGAATATTGAATTGTAAGACATTAAGTCAAAGTAGTTACTATACCAGTCTTAAAAAGGTATAGGGTAGAATCGGGTGGAGAAACCCGATTCTAGAATTTGAAAATACACAACCGAAAAAAATCTGCCTCTTCCTTACAGAGCCCCTCCTCCAACACACACGAACGCGCACATGACCATGTGTGCACGAGATGGAAGGCTGACAGGCAGGTAGGCCATCCAATTATCTGCCGCGGGCCGAGGCAGATAATTGGACTTGCTTTTTACAGCGCCACGGCTTCCACAGATGAAGGGTTTGTATGTATTTATTGTCAAAGCATTTAATTTATTCATTGTTATCGGGATGTTAAGAGCATTCCATGGAATATAACAAAAAGTGTTTCTTTAGTGAATTACCTACCCCACCTTTAAGTCCTCTTCTTCTAAAAAAGAAATTCCCTGATCCATTACCAAGGAGTCGACCTCAGTGTCCTAGAAGATGATAGCTTTGGAAAAACACTGTTTCTCAGTAATTGTGCAACAGGAAAACCATAAGCCGATTTTTCAAATGAATCCAGGGAATTTAACACACATATTGAACTGGGACAAATAGTTCTCCCTTTGGTCTGAATCTGGAACAAATATTGTATAAACATAAAAGCAGAAAGGAGTAGATTATTATATGAATCTCATTAGAGGATAATGAGACTTTTTAAATGCATTATGTTAACATGTACACATCAAACCAGAGCTGATGTCAAACCAACACTATCTTCATTTTCAATTGGCACACTTTGCAACCAGTGCATACAAGTGATCATCAACTACCATTATACAACAATATTCCTTAGTAAGAAAAAGAGGAGTCCCAATAGTCCAGTATAGTGCAACACAGCTGCATTGATTTTGAAGTGTTAAGGTCATATATAATATAGAAGCTATAAAAAGTAAAGGGCTTTTTAACAAAGAAATTGCTGAATTGCCATAAGAAAATTCATATGGAAAACAGAAGGTGGACTAAAATCCAATAAAAGACGTGTATACTTTTCCAGTGTACAATGCTGAATTAATTTGAAGTCATAAAGTCACAGGACAGGGAAGCTAGTGAAGATAAACTACACCTTGTAACCACAGGATACAGTTGCATATGTTCATATAAAAAAAGAGTAAGAACAAAAAACAAAAAAAAGGTGTGTCGTGCACAGTGTAGTAATGATATCTGGCACATGACAGGGCAGGCATTTAAAATAAATGTAATTTTCACCAAAAACAATGCTACCAATGCTACCATTAATTCTGGTATTCATATAAAATACAAGATGGACTTACATACAATACTAAATTCACGCAGGAGTGTAAACAGTGTGTGGTTGTAGTTGCACTGTACTTACCTGCTCGAGCCTCATCCTGTCTCGTACACCTCGTCCCCCTGACTCTTCTTCAGGTCCAACTTCTTTGCTTGTTTATTTCCAAAACGATAAATAACCACACGACATCTGTCCCGGTATGACCAGTCAACAAACAGCAAGAAGTCCTCACGGAAGTTTAAAGTTACTGCAGAATTCCCGACGGAGAATCCAACCATTGGCATCCTCATTGTATAAGTTAGCATACGTTAGCCACACCCAGCATGCACCTGCTGGTGACGTAGCACTGTAGGTGTGTTTGATTGGCATCATATGGGGGTTGCATTATATTAGTGTTTTAAACAACCTTAAGCCTGTTCAAGTACCATTTTAACTTAAAATATGTAATTATATAATTTAATATGATAAAATCCCCCAAAGTAGTAGGAAAATATATAGTATAGTAGAAGAAATATATAATATGTTTCCCTTTTTAGATGATCTTTTTTTGGTGAATTAAATCTGTGTCATTTTATAATGTAATTTATAAAGATCTATTTATAATACTGAGATACAATTTTATTTAGTAATACATATTTATAGATATAAAACAATACTGAGATATACTGGTAATATGTAAAACTGTTAAACATTTTTTAGTTAAGATCTAACCACCCATATAAAGTACAAGTCCCTTAAGTTAGAGTACTGAGGTACGTGTACAGAGCTAACCCCCTTTTCCTAACTATATTTTTTCTTCCATAGGTTCAGATTACATACAAATGAGATGACATGTTAATTTTAATAATGATTTTATTTTAGCAATCTGATTTCACAATGACAAAACAAACACAAATCAAATAAAACAACTTCATATATTCAAATTTAAATATATCCAAACTATACATCAGTGAGAAGCAGAGATATCCACACACAAATCAAAATATTGCACACGCCCTGTTAAAATCATGGTTCAAGCTTTAAAGCATTGCCTGTGTTCCTTATATTTCTATAGCATTGATCCTATTAGGATAAGATGAATACAATCAATAAAATCTCATTTTGTCTGACAAAAGGTACCAGCAGATATTACAGTAGCTACACATCTTCAGTGTCAGTAATACTGAGGGTAAGCTGAGTAGGATCCCATTATCTGAGATGTGGCAGACGGCAGCATGACTCCAGGGAGGCTGCTGTACTGGTAGAAAGAGTCCAGGGGCAGAGAGGTGACGCTGGGCAGAGGGGAGCTGTAATGCAGGCTGTGTGGGTGGATGTAGGAGGTAGCGGCTTGGACGTCCTGGGCTGCTGCTGCAGAGTGATATCTGGGGTAGGGTCCCGGTCTGTAGGCCTGCAGCTCGGGGTAATGCATGAACTGAGAGGTGACGTTTGCCTGGCAGGCGTGAGCCAGGGCGTCCTGCACCGTCCTCTTCAGCTTCATCCGCCTGTTCTGGAACCAGTTTCTGATCTGAAGAAAAAAGAAGAAGAAGAAGAAGTCTCATTAGACAATGTTTTCACTCGCAAACGTGGGTAATATCATAACAAATCAAATAAAACAAACAGCAGTAAATTAATAAAAAAACAAACAAGTGCAATAAATAGTCTCCAAAAAAGCCCTACACGTAGCTCTCTTAAATGATTTAGCTACAATACTTTATATATTAATTAATTTGGTTTATATATGTATATTTCCAGGTTTATTTATGGATTGGGTTTTAAAATACTGTAATAAAGCCATGTCATGTGAAGGTCTTTAATTTGCAGACAAATAATGCTAAATAAAGTAAAAATAAAACACTAAGGAGATGACCTAAGAACCTGAAAAAGCTGTCTCGAATATGATCTAAGGATTTGTACCTGTTTGTCAGAAAGGCTGAGCTTCTTGCAGAGCTCGGATTTGTCCTGTGTTCCCAGGTAAGCGTTTCTCTTGAAGGCCCTCTCCAGGCTGCTGATCTGCTCTGCTGTGAAGGCCGTACGGGGTCTCCTCCCTGACGGAGGGGATGCCGGGGGGGTGGAGGTGCAGTCAGTGGGGGCCGAGGGGGAGAGGGAGCGACCCCCTTCACTCTCGTAGCCGGATGTTTCCTCCTCTGTCCCGCTGCTGAAGCCTTCCTCGGTTACTGCACAGAGGAAATAACAGAAGAAATCATGTTAGAATTATCCATTGATGGAAGTATTCGGATAACATTTTAGTAAAAACTACTAATATTAATACTCTTCATTTGTACCTGATGCTGTAATAAAATTGGTGCAAATTCCTGCATTTAAAATGTTTCTGCAGTTGTTATCACATTTAGATCCTTATTAATGTGTTTGTTAAGAAATATAAATCCTGGTTTCTATAAAAATAAGATATGAAATCTGTTAAAATTGTTTTAATATCATAAACAAATGCTATCCTCGCAGACCAACTTGGCACATTCATAAACATTGAACATATCCTTATACCTGTTTAACATCACACTGTCTTATTGAATGTGTATAAGCTGATCATACAGTCTGTATGGGGTATTACAAACATGTTTTGCCTTAAATGTATAGAAGTAGAATTATAGAGTGGCATAACATGGGAGAACTCAAGTTAACACATAACTTCTCATGGCTGGACTGAACATACCTTGATTATTGTGGGAGGTTTGGTGCTGTAGACTGATTGAATTGAGGCCCTGGTTTCTGGTTTCTTGCTGCTTGGGTCCATTTTCAGACTTCTGCCTGCAGTAAAAGCCCGGCAGACTCTCTGAATGAGTCCCACAGGCGGCGGGTCCAGAGGCTGAGCTCTCTGTGCCGGAGGACTGGCTGCTCTGGGCCATCCACTCGATGGAAAACTGTCCTCTCATGGCTGCAGTGTTGAAGTTTTGTCCTGGAAAAGAGTAAATCCTTGTGTTTGGTGAAAGCAGGTTTTGAGTCCTGGGTGCAGAGGAAGGTGTGCTGGTCTGTCCTGAGAGTAAAACTGGCCTTCTTATCAGAGCCTGTCTGTATTTATAGGAGGCTTCAAACTCCCTCAGCTCCAAGATCAAAGCACACATCCTCCCGTCCCTCCCACCTTCCCCTCCTTTAGTTTTCACAACTGGAGTAATTAAGATGTCTCATTCAGTCTCAATGAGGCTGTTACAACAAGGCTCCAGTGAGTCTGGGAAGGACCCCCCCCCCCTGCCACCTCCCCTCCTTCCTGCCTCCAAAAAAGATAATAGACTCACCTCACCCCAAACTGTCTCCATCTCCTCCACAACCCAGTCCTTACTGTAAATAAATACCCCCCCCCACACTTTGACAGTTTCAGTTTGATATTTAAAAATCACTGTACTGGGTCTCTAAGATATGTTTTTTCTGTCACCTGACATTTCTTGTAAACTTACATAAAGTTTGTAAAAGTGAATGGATTAAAGGGAATTTCAGTCATTTTTAAAGCAGAAATGTCTGTTGGTTGTTAAAAGCTAAATCAAGGGCTTATGCTTTCTTTGTGTACATTTCATATATATTGGTTTAAGCTATTGGTCCAACAGAGAAGTCTGACTGAGAATGTAATACATCATTCTGGCAAATCACACCCAATGTTCATCAAAGTGAAGAATATAGAATTGGATTTAAAAAGAAACTGTTTTCAGGAGATTCATTGAAAATAAAAAAATCATTATAGCTACATCCCTGATGATGATCTTTCTTGCCATTAATCACACTTCAATGTTCATAGAGTGCTTAACTGGTCATCCAGTCATTACTTAACATTTGTAATGTAACTCCATTTGAAAAGGAGTCTTAATAAGCAACATAACAAACAGTGAGTGGTTTAATTTAACAGCAATGGCTAATCCAGGATGATCCATAGATTAAAGGCAAACTGTCTGATATGACGTGATAACAAAAGATTAACCTGTGACAGGTTTTTAGGTTATATTTATTTTTAAATTGATCAGGATTAAGGTAAACGATCCTACTATGATCACTCATCACAATACATATGATATGTGTAATGTTGTGGAAGTAGAAACAGAGCTTTATAGAAGTTAAAGAAATACTCTAAGCAAAACTCTATACAAACCTCATATTTAACACATAATACACAGATTTCCGAGTACTGAGTACTAGTATTTAGGACTACTGTCATAATTTAAGGGAGGAAGTTACAAATTGTAAAATGTCCTGATAAAAGTCCTCCATTACAAACCTCTGTAAACTCCTTTATCACTTCAATTACTGAAGTAAAACACAATCAGGAAAAACTAATGAAAGTAGAAAAATGACTCTCTAATTATGTATTAAATTATTATAACTTATACTAACTCATGTGTTACATTTGAGTGTTTTTGGGGAAAAGGACACTAATTTCATACAAGAGTATATTATAATAATACATTAATTATGTCATCAGAAATACCTTTATGTTATTTAAGCCAGTGGCAAAACTACAGACATATTGTAAAGTTTGATATCCAGTATCATATGAAATTAAGTGCAGTGGTGGTAAGTACTCTGATCCTTTACTTAAGTAAGAGTAGCTGTAAAGTACCTCCTAAACATAATGGTAATAACCTACTCTGCAGAGCCTCAGATCATCTTAAGCCATTGTGTCACTTTCAATGCTAAAATGGAGATTTGGGGATCAAGTTAAAGTGACTGATAAGTAACTATCTGCAGAGGATGATCCCACATGTGAAGTGGCTCATCATCATCACCACCCAACCCAGGACCTGCATGGACCCGAGTCTGTATCCGCGTAAAAGGGCAGGCAGGCCGGCGCTGTTTTGTGTGCAAATGGTGCGTGGGCCAAACAATTTGTGGGTTTAAAGGGTTAATCAGGTCAATCACGTAACGGTGCCATTGATAGGATAATGAGAGTGCTCGGGCCGGTATCTCCTCGCCTCCAGACGCGCCGTCTGTGCGCGCAGCGGAGAGGAGCGCATTGGAGAGCCGCGCTGCTAACAGCTCATCTCAGAGACTGAGACACTTCAAAGAGGCTCTGCGCTTTGATACCAACACACCCAACACGAGACAGGACACCATAATACCTCTTCATCTCGGCTCAGCTTGAGTACTCCACATTAAAAATATACTCAGAAGATGATGTGGTCAGAACTGATACACTGACTCTGGTATTAAAGTGGTTTCAGTCTACTTACGTCATTCCATGCAGAATACACTGAATTAATAGCAACATTAATTAGTTAATATACTTTTTACCAAATGTTAGCAACATGATACTTACACATCAATAAACTAAATAAGTAATACAAATCTAAAGTAATGATAAGTGACAAGTGATTATCACTTGTGTAGCCATTACTTTAGTTTAGAAACATTCTCAGTACTTTTCACGAAATAAAGAATTTGAATACTTCCTCAAATACTTTGTGGAAGTAATCATATTTAATATGTTTTACATCCTTTGATAATTATATGTTTCCATCCAATATTACAATTTCCTTCTGCGTGTTTGGTTCTAAACAGGGTTTAAAGATGTGGATACAATTACTCAGATCCTCTTCTTAAATAAAAGTAGCGATACTAGGTCCTGCATTCAAAATAATGTTACAGTAAAAGTATCAGTGAAATGTACTTTTTATAGTAACACAAGTCAAAATTCCCCATTAGACTGATTTTATACTCAACATTATATTACTGATACATCAATGTGCAAGCAGCATGTTACTCTAGCTGCTCAAGGAGGTCACTTTATTATTATTATTATGAAAAATATGGCAACAATCAGTGGTGACTGTGGTGTCCTGCATTATGTAATCCCACTCAAGTAAATGTGCAGATGTTTTACAGGAGAAAATGTTTGACATCATCTCATTCACATTAACCTTGCTGATGAATGTGTTTCTTAAACGTGATAAGTTTATAAAATATGAAAGCTGCAGACTTGATATTGATTGATATTGGTATCTGTGGATGTTGCAGTGTTGTCTCCTGTCTTCTCGCCTGTCTGTCTGCTTTTCCATCTGTCTGCCTGTCTGTAACATCAAAGACCTGCAGACCTGCATGTCACAGGGCATGATGGGAGATGACAAGGTAGAGCAAGCGGTCACTGATACCCATCCACACCATTAAAGCACAGACAGACGGAGGGGCAGCGACGGAGGTGACGGAGAGACAACAAATGATCAGGACCCCTTTGAACTTTTAACTGTACCAATCACCTGCCACTCATTTTTCTGCAACTCTTGTTGTGAGTGCTTGTATCTAAGATGGATGCACTTTATTGATAGCAAATGGGATACATTCTTCTGGCAGAGTCAACGGCCAAAAGTGACCATTTAGTTTGAGGTTCTTGTACATAACTTTGTCTTGCTATACTTTTTCCTTTTGTGGAACTAATTAACCCTCTTTATTCATACTAATAAGTACTTTTTTTAGATAACTATTTTACAATACAATCAATTGTTTTTGTTTTGTCACCTTTGACATCAGTAAATTTACCTAAATGCCAATTAAATCAGCAAAAGAAAATGTATTGAAACAAACTTAGTGTCTAGTTTGGAATTGCTATGTTACAGATGCTTGAGTAACCTAAGGGTCGAGACATTTCCCTACACGGTTTATATAGAATAACAGTTTAAATGTGGCTGTTAAAACGTCTGTATTTTGACTTCAAATTTAAATACATTTGTAAATGTATTAGTTGATTGGTTTAGTATGAGCTCATGATTATTCTGAAACGTTGTTTGCATTATTGTATGTATGGTCATTAATATTTCTCATGTAAAATATTCGTGAAAATAAAAAGAATGTTGTGTCGTTGATGTTAAGTGTATACAAGGAAATAAATAGATTCCCTAATGAAGGCGAGATTACTAAAAAGTACCTTTAAAACCATTCAAATCTGTCACTCTGCAATCACTAAGTCCACCATTAAAGACAGACGTTAGTTTACATTTGAGGGGTTTTGGGATATACACTATTACCGGCCATAAAAGCTTGGGAACCCTCAGGTGTGCTACGTCACAGCGCAGCCACCAGATCCTGGATTTTAGGGATACATTTAAATGTCACAATCTCAAAACAAGACAAGCCTCACTGTCCCATTTGAAGAGGGGAGTCGCTGTTCCTGCTCATCCACCAGGACCTGTCTCACTGGCCCCATCAAAGCCCTGGGAGCCTTTGAAGAGAGTGATAGGGATCAATGGGACAGGGGAAGAGGCCTTAACTGACTGTGTTACAGACAGGGCGGGCAACTGCTGGAGACTGCCGGCAATGGAGATCAATGATTATTGGGCGTCATCACCACCCTCATCTGCATAGAGGAATCCATTCAGCATCAGAAACAGACACATTTTATTTGTAAATTTCAGGTTTTGTTCTGGTTTTTTATGCACATTTGGGCTAAAGTGCAACAGGATAAGACCGTAAATCATTTATTTATTCTTCTTCCTGTCAAAATAAATGTTTTACATTTTAAAAACACAAAAAGGAAAAGAGTGTTATTGGTAATTATCGCTTACTATTTGTTTTAAGCTACGTTAAAGGGGACTTCAGCACACAGCTTTCTAATTATTTCAAAGAAAGGAAAAGAGCAAAGAGTAAAGTAAAGTATATAGATCTAAAATGATAAATTGTGGATCATGTAGTCAAGAAATTAAATGAAAGAAACAGATGTGTTTTAAAGAAATATTAGGAATGAATTTAAGGGGATTTAGGATTAACTCGTGCAGCGTATTGGTTCGTACATTTGAATTGAACAAATAGCTAGTAAGATAACTCATTTGCAAAAGACACTTAACATTGATGTCGTCTTAAGTAGGAACCAAAAGGCTTGGAGCTGAGAGCCTCAGACAGGAAATTAGAATGTAGAGACAAACTAACACATAGATGTTTTTATGGGATTTGTCGGAAATGAGAAAATGAAGATCATCAGCGGTGTTGTCCTTTCAAACTTCTATAATAAAGAAGAGTTCAACTGATATTTATTTGGGACTCTTTCTATAAGAAACTGATAAAGACGGAGATATAAGCTGATGTATGCAGAGATGTGACCACCATGTTGGGACATGTGTCTCCCTCTGGTCTGCTGCTCAGCGCCCCGGGGGGCTCGAGGTGTGTTTGTGTCCATAACAGAGCAGCAAACAGGCCCATTAGAGATGAAAGGGTCTGAATGGAGCCAATCAAAGAGGAGCCCAGCAGGAGACCGTTACCCCACAGACAGCAGCAGCCTGGGACTGGGGCCGGGAGGACGGGACCCCCTCTGCACGGATAAGGAGCATTTACACACATGCACAGTCAGGATTACTATCCGTTTTATTGGCCTGTTGTGTTCATGTATATCCAAGTAAATGTTGAATATTCACACACTAAGTCTTGTGTTTGAGCACAACAGACAGAAACAGATGTAAACACAGATTGTGCAGAAACCCTTGAGCAAAATGTAATTTGGTTTAAAATTGTTTTGGTTTAGTTTTATTTTAAGAAATGTAAAGTGATTACTACCTCACAATTACATTTAAACTATTTCTTCTTCTTTTTTTCCACATGTTAGGATACTTTATATTTCTACTCCATTGTTTTGTTTTTGACAGATATAGCTACGTCTTTTCAAAGATATAAACGTATATAAATACAACATCAAATAAATGCAGGATTACAGTGGTGTCCAGATGTTTGGCTTGTGACCTCTAACAAAAAAGTCTGTGTGTTTGGCTGTCATATTTAAGATGTGCTCCAAATTTCACTCGAATAACTGTTTCTGGGTTCAAACTGAGAACATGATCCAATATTCCAACAAAATAAACAATACAGATTTCTGTTTCTTTCCTCTCCTTTAATCATCCCACCACCCATTAGGTTTATCTGGTCACCCTTCATCAGTATTAACACTCTTTAATTTGCCACAGAATCAGAGACATTTTACTACTTTGCAGAATGTGTATTTTAACTGCTGATGCTTCATGTATATTTTCTGATAATGCTATTATTCTAAAGTTAAATTGGTTTGGCGTGTTTTACTTTAGAAAGGGATCTGAATAATCCTGCACTTTTGTTCTTTGACATGTATTTCATTTGGGAAATACATTTAAATAAATTATCCCTTTGATACAGTCTTGTCCTTCAGGTTTTGTATGACAGAGATCTTCATTTACAGCAGATATATTCCTGTGTGTGTGTGTGTGTGTGTGAACTCGCAGGCGTTTCCTTCACCTCTTCCTAACAGCCTCATTAACCTCTAAATACCAATTTAACATCAAAGGCTGTGTCAGTGCTCACACCTCCGTCTCCTCTCACATCCACTCTCTTTGACATGGGTACACACTTCTTCCCATGATCTTATTTATTTTTCAGATTGAACACGATTAGGCTGTATGAAATGTAAACACAGTGTGACACACAGTGTGCTGGTAGTTGGAAATGCAGTACGAAGGTAAAAAAGGGATTTATTTGTAATGTTCCTGCATCACCATTGACACATCTCTGTTTTTGACACCGTATGTGTGAACCAAAAGTTTCTGAGGGAGAAGGACAGACATGAGACATTGTCCTGCAGGAGGGGACTGCCAGTCTGGGCTTCTGTGAGAACAGAGGGGAGGCCGGTTGTGGAAATGGAAATTAAATCAACTGTGAAGGAAGGATGTATGACTTATCATTTCAGATCAATATTGAAATAGATCTCCTAGAAAAAACACACGTCTTTTTTGATTAGAAGCGATTTCTTTTGTATACGTTTAATATGTTATTAACATTCTAAGTACTCTTTATAGTTGAGATTTCCCTGCATAAAAACACAAGAGTAACACCCAAACAGAAAACAATGTAAGGAACACAGTGGTGGAAAAATTACTCAGATCCTTTATAAAAGTTAAAGTAACAATACTGCTATTTAAAAGTATACGGATAAAAGTGAAAGTCCTGCATTTAAAAACTCGCCCTAGGTATGAAAGTATTTTCACCACAATATCCCTGAAATATCCGCAGTAAATGTACTCATTCTGCAGTAAAGTGCTTCTTGTGACTGGTTTTATGTGACATTAGATGCATACATTTTAGATCAACATTTCTCAGTTGTAGCGGCTCTGGTCAGCTAGTTTTAACTACTTTGAGTACAAGTTAGCTAGTTTAGTTCAAAGGTTTTCAACCTAGAGGGTCACCAGTTAAATCTGAGGGATCATAAGGTGGTTCATGAGAAGAAAGAAGATATGATAACTACATTTGTATTCACATTTTGTCATTTATCGAACGGTTACTCCACCTCGTTGATTTCTGACTGTCTGACTCTCTGTTAACAAATCATAGACATATCGTCACACTAAACGTTTGGGAACCACTGGCTTATTATTTATATGTTGTATTTTAAAAGCAGGTTTCTTAATGCCAGTGACTGTAGCTTTAGAAAAAGGTTGTGTCGTAAAGACAATATTCCCCTGATATGAAGTGGAGTAGCAGTATGAAGCAGCATAACACATTTTTTTATATATTGTCACTGACTTCCTGTTATTTTCCTGGAGATTACATTACATTGCATTTAGCTGAGATCACTTGTGGTCTCTCTGCTGTGTGGCTTTCTTTTGGAACAGACGTTGTAGAATACAGATCAGTAGCACACAGGTGTGTCTGTGGGGAAATGTTCCTTGAACACTTACAAAGACAGGATGGTCAAATATGTCACTCTGTATAAGAAGAACACGAGTTGTACAGATATGAAAGAAAATAAATCTTGACAGTTATCTGCTATGTTTCTTTGTCAAACGACAGATAGCGTGTTTCGATGTTCGGCTCTGTTGGTGTTTGATCAGGTCAAACTGTTATCCTGCTTCTTTTTTAACATTATCTTCTGCTGGGCTGCAGATGTATTCCCATCACACTTTACTCCCCTATATTAGTCACTTGGTCGACCTATTTGGTCCAGACCAAACTATCTCATGTATTTAAATAACAGGTTATTGAGGAAGCAGCCCCTGACTTTTCCTCTAGCGCCACCATGAGGTTCACATTGTTGCCTTTTCATTGGATTTGTATTAAGAACAGATTGTACGGTTCAGCAGCTTATAACAAATACTTTCTTCAGCAAGCAGCAAGATCAGAGCATTTATTATATATCAGTTTTAAACATTTTAATTGAGGATGCCTTCACTCCTTTGCCAGAACTACAGCTAAAACTAAATGCATCCAAAATGATCATAAAGTGGAATAAACATCTCTCTAAAACAGTTTTAACACAAACTGAAAAGCATTGCCTTCGTAGGTGATTTATTAAAGGACTGCTGTACTACACTGTATTAGTCTTAGCCTAGTTGACTAGTCCACTAACACAGGTTCCCTACAGTGCAAATATTGCTTCAAAATTCCATTTTTGGAATTCAGTTCATATTAATGTGCAAACAGGGCAAAAAAAGGCAATAAAAGGCCATACAAACGCAGCTACTCATGCATTTTAAGAGGCCAGTTCAGCGGTGCAGCGGGACGGCAACACTGAGGAATCCGCACAAAAAACTCCGCGTTGACGAACAAAAAAGTCACATTTTTAATCCGGTAAAAAGTTATGAGGGAAAATGTTCTGTATTCCTTCATCATATTTTTCATATTCCATCTTCTTGCGTTTTCAAACGCTGCGATTGTTGTGACCGTGGATAAAATAGTTGATGGTAGCTTTTCAGTGATCTAAAATCTTATAGTTATAAAATGGTATTATTTTGGAATCAGTCATGGATTTAGTTACCTAATAATCATGGATCCTGAAGCAACATGACTGCATCAATAGAGCCCCGTGCAGTTCTGTCTTTTGGGCTGAACCACCAGCTGATACTGCATTAACCCCCCCTGCCCCCCCCCTCTCTGCAGGTATGACCCTCACATGGTACCTGCTGGTTCCTCCTGCAGGAGATCCTCAGCTCCGGTCAGGCGTTTCTCTCTGACGGAGGGATGTACTCCAGACCGAGATGAGCAAAAATCTCCTCCTCTGATGAAGCTCTCAGGTACTTGCTCTGTAAAAATACAAACATGCATTGCTATTCATTTACCCCCCATGCCAATAAAATGTGTTAAATAGTGTATTAGAGGTGTTTACCTGTGTGTTATCGTACAGAGCGTGGCTGCTCAGAGACATGGCCTTCTCGTGCCCCGCCCAGCGGCGCAGCTCTCTCTCAAACAACTGCAGAGAATAAAGACTCAGTGGAAGGATTTCATTTGCAATATTTATCCTGCATAATATATCAGAAAGTCACCTTTGATCCGGTCCAGCCCAGCAGAGCAAAAGCAAACTGGCTGATGGGCGACACCACCAGGTCCACTCTGACCGCTCTCCATGGTTTGAGATTGGCACGTTTTGTCGACTCACTTCCTTCATCTTTAACCAACGAGGGGGTTGTAAGACGACACGTGTCCTCAGGTGTATCTTCTGTCAGCGTCTCCGTTTGTTTTGTTCCTTCTTTCGCATCCTCAGGCAGTTTAAAGATGGAGTAACACCTCTCGAAGCGGTCCATGTTGGAGGAAGGCCGAGCAGGACCGTCTTTTGACTCCAGGTAAGAGTTTCTTGTAGTTTTCTGGTACAACAAGAAACCCTGGAGAGACAGAAAACTATATTTGTAACATTTGAGCAGTGAAAATGTGGTTAAAATAACTTCAGGTTGTCAAAAAGTCATCTTAAAAAAATGCACTGACTCAGGGTTTACCTTTGATTCCAACCAGGACACGACTTTAGGCATCAGCCCCACCTCTCTGCCCTCCTCTGGGTGTGTTATCAGGAAGTCCACATCATGGCCTGTCAGCTTCCCTCTGGAGAGCGTCGGTAGTTATTTTTCCCTTGATTTAATATGTTTGAACTTCTTAAATCTCAAAAACAAGACAATGGGATAATATCTACCTCCTGAAACCTCCTATCAGAGTAATCTGTGCCCCTGGCAACACAGACATGACAGCTTTCTCCACAATCTCTCCGATGGCGTCACCCTCGGCCTTAGTGACCGGCTGGTTGAGGTCATCATAGTGCTCCAGACCTTAGGGAAGACAGTATATAACTTTGAGGAGAAACAAGATGAAATACAATGTGAATGAACACATGGGCATCGGGACACACACCTGCTTGTTGAGCTCTATTGAGTGTGTGTGCAGAGTCCTGTAACTGAGGAAGGCTGTGTATCCCCTCTCTGATCCATCGCTCTGCTGTTTTTGCTCCAACCCCAAAAATACCTGTTAACACCTGAAACACATCATGATATCAAAATGAAACTGTGGAATACAAATCAGGATTTGATCCAGTAACAAATACTAAAGAATCATTGGTCACCTTAATAAGTTGTTAAATTATAAGACTGGCAGTATTCAATATGTTCAGTATTGCGAATAAATCCCATTAAAACAACATAGAAGACAAAATCATTTCCGTTTGTTTGTATAATTGTTTTTAATATCAACTACACAAGATGAACAAAGGGTACCTCATCAAAATCACAAAATTAAAAACAGGACTTTTTTCTGGATGAGGCAAAATGAACTGCAGTGTGTGTTTGTTGAAGACATTTTTTAAGGATTTGTTGACAGTTAAACAATATAGAATTGTTTCAGATTGTTGGCTTATGTATTAAAGAGGATACATCAACCAGAGGGATCCAGTGTAGAGCCACTAGGTGGTGCTGGAGAGGAAATGAGATCCATGTTGGAGAGAGTTAATCATTTGACGTTGATTTATTTTGAAATGTCCCTGAGTTTTGGGAAATGGTTCACATATTAGAAAATAAGTTCCCTATACGTCACATATTTCTTGAAATATTGTTAAAGCTAGTTAAACTTGCTACTGTAGCACCTTAACAAGGGAATCAATGGCTGATCACTCTTTAAGAAGTCATCTTAAAGGTGGGGTAGGTCATTTTGGAGAAACCGGCTCGAGTGCGCTAGAATTTGAAAATACACAACCGGAGAAAATCTGCCACTTCCTTATAGAGCCCCTCCTCCAACACACACGAACGCGCACATGACCAATGAGGGCACGAGATAAGTTTGTGCACAGATGGAAGGCTGACAGGCAGGTAGGCCATCCAGTTATTTTAGCCGGGCTAAAATGATTGGTCGTGCTTTTTACAGTACTACGGCTTCCACAGATGAAATTTTTTTATGGATTTGTTGTCAAAGCAATTAAGATATTCATTGCTATCGGGATGTTAAGAGCATTCCATGGAATATAACAAAAAGTGTATCTCGAGCCGGTTTCTCAAACTTACCTACCCCACCTTTAAATAATTAAGCTGAATAGTGAATTGAAGAAAAGTAAAATAGAATAATTGTTGTTTTACTTTTCTTCTTTTTTGTTGCTTCTCCTCAGAGATAAGACATGTGAGCCATTCAAAGAAAAGTGTTTAATTTGAAGGCTTTTTAGAGCCTTGATTGTTGTCCCATATTTCACAAGAATAAAGCATACAATGAAAGAAAAATCAGAAAGTGTTCAAATACTTTTGTGTTAGGGCAACATTTTCTTTCAATGATAATCTGGTCACCCTTTTGTTTGTTCTATAGACCACAAATAATCATAGAATTTACAAAACTCCACTCAAGTTTATGGGCAAAACAGCTGACATACCTTCAGTGCTTTAAACCGCTCTGACTGCTTTGTACACTCCACTTCACTGGATGCTCCATGTTCCAAAACGTCCTGCAAGAAAAGAGAATAAAAACAGATGAATAATAGATAGTGATTAGGGAGATATAAAAGGGATATCTTTCCACTGACTTTGATGACTCTGAGTGAATGTCCTCCCAGACAGGGCAGCCCTCTGAGCTGCAGCAGGTCTATCACCGGGCTGTGGAGAGCCTTCAGCACGGCGGCGGCTCGTCGGAACGCAACGCCTCGTCCGTCCTCGTCACTGAGCTCAGCGTTTTCAGCCAGGAGAGACAGCGCATCCTGAGACAGAAAACACATCCTCAATCTCTCAGTTTTCTGTTTTCATTTAGCTAACAACAGGTGTAATATAAGTATTGGCTGGGGGACATTATTACAGTGAAGACGGTGTTGTGGTTCTCCAGGGTGGTCCTTCTCTGACAGGCGTAGCTCGGCACGATACTCTCCACCTCCTTCGATTCATCAACCTGTTGCTCCTGTTAAAGACAGAGGGATTCAACAGCTTCACAAATACAACCAAAAACCAAGAGCTGGATTCATCCGAGATCTTTTATAAAAAAAATCTAAATTCTAGTATTGTTTATTTCTATTCTTTAATTTCTACTATGTGCAATGCCTCGTTTTGTTTTTGTTGTTTTTTATGCTGCTGCAACACAAAAATGTCCAAATTTGGGATCAATAAAGTACCTCTTATCTTATCTTTACTTTTACTTAAATTCATAACAAATACTTAAATTAATATGAGTACGATAAAAAATGCAATTGTATTTTTATACATTTTAAATGTATGGTTTGTTACGCCATCTTTTATGATCTGAAAATGTTTGGGAAGCCATGCGCCACAGGAATATTTTAGTGAAATTCTTGACTGACATCTGAGAGTAAATATCTGGAGCTGATAAAGAAAAAGGCACCTGTAGTTTATGTCTATCCAGGATTTCAACAGGATGTCCCGCCTTCATGCTCTCTGTGTACCAGCTGATGTCCAGAAGGAGAGCCGGTGTCCTGCACTGACCTCCAATCTGTGAGTCCAGCCACGTCCTGACCTCATCTCCAGAGTTATTCTCAGAAATCACATGTGTGACGCTCTCACTGTGAATACACAATATTCAACATGTGATTCAAAGACACTACTGTACCCAAAGGTGAGAGCATGGCAGCAGCACACTCAATCACTCAATTCAATAAATGATTAGCTTTTTGGAAAGTTCGGGGAATGTAGATTAAAATACACTTTTACGTACAAGCTTTTGAACAATTGTTATCATCAATGTATGAGAGTGTTTAAGCTGACTTAAAGGTCCCATGTCATGGTTTTCTGGTTATTACCCGTCCCCTTGTGTGTTATGTAGCTTTGTATGCATGTAAACGGTCTGCAGAGTCACAAACCCTCAGGAGCTCCAACAAGCCGTTTAGGACAGAGAGTGAATACACATACTATACAGACATGCTGTATTAGAAACCAATGTGAGATTGGAAAATTGCACAATATAAATGTAGTTTAGTATACCTCAACAATGGAAATATGATCAGTAGAAATGGCCATGACATGGGACCTTTACAAGTAAAAGCACTCAATGCAGAAGTCACCCCTGGATTCAGAAATGGATATGAAAAACTAAAAAGTAATACAAAATCCTTTACAAAATCTTCTTGTAAAGCTGAACAAGTTGAATAAAGGCAATCTCAATAGTTGAAACTTTATTTTCTGTCAATCAACTTAATCAATCAAATTGATTAATCAGTACCACTTCTAAAATATAAGCTGTAAGAAACCAATAGCTTAACAATTTAAATAGTCAAATCAAGTGAAGAACTTTAATTTTATTCTCACAGCTATTAAAGACAAAATGTACTTAGTTACTCTTCTTCACTGTTTTTCTCAATTGTACTATACACTTTATTTATTTTATCTTACCTGAACAACTCCTCCACCTGAAATCCTTTCTTTTGACCGAGCTGAGAGAGAAATGCTCTTCGACTGGCTCCCATTTTTCTTTCCAACAGGAATAAAACCACCTGAGGGAATTTGGCAGGCACTCCACTCCAAGTATTCCCAGTTTTCCCAGCACCTGAGGAGACTTTCCTTCTCTTCAACGGCACCATGTTTCACTTTATGGTTAAATAAGACGTTAAGGCGTCTAACGTAAATGGGCTCATTCTCTGGGGTAGGTTAGAGGGAAAGAAAGCCGCAGAAAAAAGAAATAGTAGCACAATTCTGTGCAGCAGTGCAACCGGATGCAGCTGTGTTGATGCACCGGCTGCACATGCGCACTACCACAATAGTTCCGAGTGGAAACTGCGCTGAACACTGAAACGGCCCAGTATGGAAGACAGCTTTAAGTTATTAACATTAATATTATTAAAATAAACATAAATACTCACGGTCAGTAACATGGATAACAAGTGTCTCCTTTTTTGTATTACTGTTTGGTGTATAATGCAGGATTGCTGCTTAATTTCCTATGTTGTGTACCTAAAACATGAACACTCACTAACACCACTTATAATATTAAATAAGTGAATTTATAAAATTGGAAATATATTTTGCAAAATGATAAAGAATTAATCCTATTATATTCTGTTTAATCCAATAAATTAAGTGATTTAAAAAAAATACATTGTTTGCCTCTGATACTGATACTGAAGTAGTATGAGTAGCCTACCTAAAATGTGTACTATAAGTAGTACTTTCCATCCTTTAATGTGGCTGAAAGTTGGTGAATAGAGCTGGTTCTTCCACTTTAATCCCAATCACTAGTAATAACAGCAGAAATCACTTTCAGCTGTTTGCATAGTTCATTGTTTGAAAAGCTTGACAGTACTGACTGACTGCTACCTGCCTTCACTTCACAGTGCCATCAACAGTAGGAAAAAATATTGTTCAAAACATGATGTACGCTTAATTTATTCTCACTTTCAAAGCATTACTGTACAGCCTCAAAGAGCTGCTATGCATGACTTTAGATCTAAGTGTCGTTTACCACTAACAGCTCCCCCTCAATATCAGTAAAGGGAAGTGCTCACAGATTTGACTGATAACATATGTCGAGGCTTATACTTATGATCAGCATATGTCTTTTTTTGTGGGAGATAATGACCTAAAAAGAACATGTGTGCTCCACACAGAAAATGGGTTGTATGAATGTTTAAGCACCCATGTGTTCTCGAACCAGGAGTCAATGGAATATTATGAATTCTTCTGCATGCCGTGTCTACATTGGATTTGCATAGTCTATTCAATTCAAATTAAATATCTTCAGACTACAAACATAGTATACAGAGTTTCCTGTTTTAAAACTCTTAAAATAAAAGACTATAATTATGTGAAACCCTGAAATAAACTGTTTGATCTATAATAACTCTCAGGTGGTTTCAAGGGGGTAAGTTAAGAGGAATCACATGGAGATCTATTGTTGAATTACTTTCAGATCCTCTTTTGTGTAAAATAAGGTTTTATTTTCTTGAAAATAAAACTAAAGCAATAGACTATAAAATGTACGTGTCAGATTGTTATATCGGCTTGAATATTGATATTAGACTATTACTACTAGATTATATTATATATATTTGAAGTTATTTATGTGCAGTCACCATTACATCATTTTCAAACTGAAATGCAAAGTAAAATAAAAAACATTTCATAGCAACATATAATATTGCATACACAATATTATATTGTGCATTTAGATGCTACATTACATATTTATATAATAAAATGTAATTTATGTATATTTGTATTAAGAGCTTACTTAATTAAGTTTAATAAAGTTTAATTTAATACATTTGGAAATATTTTAATAAATATGTTTTCTATATAAGATTTAATACAATATCATATAATGCAATATAATATTATTATGATTAACAACGTTTTAAAAACAATTATTTTGAACTTGATTTTAAAATGATACAATGTCTGATATTAAAAATAATAATTAATAATAAATACAACAAACATCTATGTATGTCATTAAATGGGATTATTGTGCCGATAGTAATAAAGCATGCCTCAGAGTTAGTAAAAAGCAAAAGTTAATAAGGAAGTTTGTAGTTTATAAGTAGTATACATTCCATGCTGTACAATGTGTTCTCGGTCTTTACTCCTCCCCTTATAAGTGTGATCATATGACCACCAAGAACTCGACTCCACTTCCTCAAACTGCCAGCCTGCACACACTCAGCCAACAACACACACACCCTCCCCCTGACCAGGAAACGAAACCGAGCTCCAGCTCAACACCGGCGTGTGTGAGTGTGCGTAGCCAAGGCCCGGTGCTGCTGTGGCCAAATGGCAGCTTTGAGGAGCGGACCAGGAGCGACAGGACCCCGGCGGAGAGGACTCCCTGCTGCGGCCACCCTCCTCACGGTGCTGCTCACCTGCTGCGTCCGGTGCTCTGCACAGATCGACAAACCGAGCAACATCATCCTCATCCTCGCCGACGATCAGGATGTTCATATTGGGGGGATGGTGAGTTGACCCGCTTAAAAAAAATCACATGTTTTCATAACTTGATCATAAAGGAACGGTATAGTAACTTCTGATGCAAGCTCCTACCAATAAATACACACCTGTAAGTGAGTTTATAGTAAGCTAGCATTGAATTTGGAGTCATCTTATCATGCTTTATGGTGTTTTTATCGCCTAATTGTTCGTATAATTCAGATACAGTCCTTTGAAGCTTGGTTGTGAAAGTCTACTGCCCTCTCATCTGCTGTGCTGTCAGCTGTAATGCAGGAAGCTCTTTTTACTCCTGAAAGTCCATTATTAACATAGTTGAGAGACATACGATTAATGAATTGCAAGGTAGTACACAACTTGTTGGATACACACGAAGAATATAAGCACCCCAAACAGAGCAGGGACTAGAGCTACAAACTTGCAAATACAGGTACAAGTACATTTTAAACTAAAAGGTAACTAGATACCATGTTGTGATGGTCAGCAGCAATGCCAAAATGGGGCCAGGGTTGTAAAGGAGAGGGGGGGGGGAATTCCCCTCTACCCCCCTCTACCCCCCTCTACCCCCCTACCCCTTTATTTGTGGTGCCCTTGTACGAACAACTCCCATCTTCAAACTTGGCTTTCATTTTAATCTCAACTTGACATCTGTAGAGTTTGATGAGTGCATCTTGCAAGGTGTTGACACTAACTCTGTGACATAGTCATTCCATGAACAGACAGACAGAATATAAACACCTCTTAAAGTACTCAAAACTGCTTCTGTGGTAGCAGTTGATTTCGGAGGAGCATGATGGTCATGATGAAACACATGCAGACTCACAAGGTGAAACACTGCCACCCCCACACTGTTGCACAGTGAGTAGACTAGAGTCCAGAGCAATGCTAGCTGCTCTGTGCTACTCTTCTTAAAGTGGCAATAGATCACTTTTCAACTCCTCCCACCTCTAGCGTTTCTAGAGGTGCAAAAACCTAATCCCTTTTCTCAGAGCCCACAGAACCACAGTTCACAGTTCTTCTACCAACTCCATGTGGTCTCTTCTCTTGCATCGTTTTCAATTAACGGACACAACCACTTAGCTTTTGGCAAATTAATAATGTTGAAGATGATATCATATTGTGCCTTTTTAGGGACTTTCCAAGTGCTAGCTACTTTCATTGAAAGCGTTGGCGAGAATGCACAGGAAACACTGCATTTAGTTTTCCGATGGCTGAAAATGTATAGATCACGCCTATTAGGGCTGAAACGATCGCTAAATTATGATTTGGGTCGCTTTTTCATGAATATTGAATGACAATACCTTTTCTGATTCCAGCTGCTAACTTTTGAGGATTTTGCCGCCTTTCTTTTTCTTATATGATTCATTTTGTGTTCTGGGAAACTGTGATTGGCATTTTTCTCGATTAGAATGATCACCAACTAACTGTATTACTTTTTAGATCAAATGTATGCTCTTATGAAATGGTAGGAGTCATGTCACTTGTCTAATTCTGAATCTGATTTGTTTCCGTTCTGCAGACCCCCATGAAGAAAACTAAAGCCTTAATAGGAGAAGCAGGAGCAACATTTGTGAATGCTGTGAGTACGTCTTCTACATTTACCCAGTGGTGGAAAGTAAATGAATGCATTTACTGCAGTACTGTACTTTAGTGCAGTTCTTAAATACTTATACTTGAATATTTCCATTTTATGCCAGATTTTACACCAAAACCACAATATATGCTTGTAGAATTTAATACATTGCTACAGGTTAAACCAACTGTTCTTACTTGGCATGCTCAGATGTCATTACATAAACAGATGAGTTGTCAGTTAAGTCATTTCCCCTCTAAAATACGTCATCTGGTGAGGCCCAAAGATGTACAAGTATCCAATATTTCACAAAGAAGCATATATTACTCATAAATCTGAAAATAAATGAGTTTATTGTCCTTTAAAAAAATATTATGACCCCTCAAGTTAATCTGCTGACCCTTTGCAGGTCCACGACCCCTATGTAAGCTAGCTAACTGAAGGTAAAGTACTAAAACTAGCTCCAACTTGAGTAGCTGAAATACTAAAATACTGCTCTGACATTAATGCATCACAATTTTTTTCTAATATCAGTCAAATATCACAGGATATTTTATATTATATTTTAGTACTTTTTCTTCGATGCATACTTGGAGAACATTTTGTACTAAAGGGCCTGCATCCTTTTTTCAGTCCCCTTTGATTTCACATGTTTTAAAATGTGGAAACTGAACACATCCTTCTCTCCCCGGTCATGCTTCTCTTTTGTCACCTTTCCCCTCCCCTCCGTTTCCCCTTCTTCTCCTTCTTCTTCCTTCGTCACCGCTCTCGCTTCCTTCTTCTCCGCTGAAGTTCACCGTCACGCCGCTGTGCTGCCCCAGCAGGAGCAGCATTCTGACCGGTCAGTACCCCCACAACCACGAGGTGAGGAACAACTCACTGTCAGGGAACTGCTCCAGCATTCAGTGGCAGAAAGGCCCCGAGTCCACGGCCTTCCCAGTCTACCTCAACAAGCAGAAGTACCAGACGTTCTTCGCTGGGAAATATCTCAACCAGGTTTGACCACGTGTAAACTTGATAAGCTGTTCTGTGTTTAGTATATATGGTGGTTTTATGATTCAAGAAGAAGCTGTGCTAAAGCTTGACTGCTTGAAAATTATTTAAACTTGACCCAAATATATTCAAAAGTTATAAACATGTTATATAAATGTTTCCCGTTTTTAAAAGATAATTTTAACCAAATTACACAGACTAAAGCCATAGGAATAATGCTACCAAGCAGATGTTTAGCATGTTTAATGTTGAACATTAAAAGTATTGGACAAATTCCACACA